CGGCGGTGGTTATTCAACAATGGAGACTTAACAGGTGGTGCGAGCACGCTCGTCCCTTTATGCAAAAACTTTGGGCCATAAATTGTGGCTGCTTTAAGATTCGCTCTAAGTAGGTTTGCGTTCGCACGCTGAAAATAAACAAAGTGTGTTCCATTAATAACTTTCAACTACAAGTTCAGCAAAACCTCTTATGAAGAGAATGATTTATTCTATGATGGGTGAAATTAATATGAAAGTTCTCCACACAGCGTTAAATTGTCAGACAGCTTTTGTATTCGTTAAAGCAAACATTTAGTGAATATGTCAAACGTATTTAAAAATGCTGTTGAATCTTTTTTGTGTAGGATATTTTGATGCGATTTTATAAGATGTTTTTTGTTCCATACTTAAGACACTGATGCTAACTTTCAGAATAATAAATCAGGGTGCTTTTCACAGCACTAAGTAGGCTATAGTATCATTTATAGTGGACATTATCAAAGCTGATAAGTAGTATTTTTTTAACCTGAGATTTGTTACAAAAGAAGAAAACGCAAAGTTTCTTTAAAAAGTTCGATACATAAATCAGTTATTACTGTTTGCAATTCTGTTCCTCCAGCCAAAGCATAACATATTTATATAGTACTAATAATAATAGTCGGACAATATATTTTTTGCCTGGTTCAGTCAAAACGAGCGAAACCATAATTATTACACAAATACATATATTACATACATGTTCCATGTTTTTAGAAGTATGAAAACGGCAAAAAATAGAAACACTTCTTCACAATTTATGTTTTGTATTAGGTAAATCCTTAGTTTCTATGTCACCAAAAAACACTCAACAAAAAGTTGTACCGATGGTAGTTAGTTTTAAATTGAAATAAACAAAACGAAATCAAATTATTTAACCATTGGCTAGATTAAGATTAAGAAAGAGTGTCCAGCAGTTTAAAAGATTTAGTTTGTAGGGTTGGTTGTGGTGATTGATAACCCATTTCAAGTTTTGTCAGTTAAGTTCACTGGAAATATGGTCTACAAATATGTGGTTGCTGTAGAAATTGTAAGTAGATTTAATATTGTTTAAAAATAAGATTTTAGGAGATTTATTGTATATAGCCTTTGTAGAAATCATTTTTGGGTAAAAGATGTAAAGTAAAGAATAGTTTTCAAATCAATTTTAATGCATTTTACAAGAAAAGAAAACAAGTAAAGTTTATACAGACCTGTCGAGTTTTGTTCGAGGAGAAGCACATTTTTCACAAGGAGTTGTAAGGATCTTAAATCCACTTTTAATTATTAGAATTTGTAGAGAATAGTTTTTATCTGTTTTGTGTGATGTTTTCAGACAGATATCAACCACATTGTCTTCTTGTTCACCTTCTTATGATTGGTCCAGTAGCTTTTGTACCACTTCTAGTTGCTTTGCATGGTATCTGCTAGTGCCAGTTCTGACCATTAAACCAGTGTCTCTGTTTAAAGTAAGATCTTTCCAGTATTTTTATTATTTAGTACAAGTTTTGGAAGTAATAAGGGTATATTTGATTTTATTGGGAAAGTGTATTTTGTGATATTTGAGAACCATAATATATATATATTTTTGGCCTATTTAGTCTTTTAATTTATCTCACTTCTACTACCAGCATAAATTAGATTCATCCTAAATTGAAGTATACTACCTAATTGGCTATATGTTTGGGGTATAAAGTATGATGAAGCTGTTGAAATTTTTAAAACATACAAAAATAATCTGAATAGGTATCATGTTTTTGTTAGCATATCAAATAACTTAAAGATCAAAAAACTTATAGTTAAAACAATTACATAAATACGTAATTTGAACGGAATCTTTTCACATTATTGTATTCTCCATGGTACCAATCAAAACTAGCAGAGTACCCGTCCTTCGTACGGGTTTGGTGTATAAATACAAAACGCTTATTGCAGTTATACTCGCTCTTTGCGTTTGAAATGGGAGAGGACACGGTTTAAGAAGATTTTGTCCTTTTAATTTACGGTATACTATAGTATAACACACCTACCATAGCCATAATAAGGTTATAACAATGCACCCGAACAATAGAAAAGAAGTAAATTACCAAATATTCGCAAAAATTATTTATAAATCAAAAACATAACCATAACGTAACTTTAAACAATTCTACTTTGATAGTACCCATTGTGTATCACAGCTTTTTGTTGCTGCTTGGTTCAAGTTAGCCGTTGCAATAAATGCAAAAACAATAATAGTGCTGCAACCCCTTGGAAAACCTTATAAATTTGTAACGCTATTGAAAATCATAGAACCAACCTGTGTAGTTGAAACAGCTGGCTAAATTAATTAATTCCTTTTAAATATTAATACTGGTAATATTGACATGGTAATCTTCAGGCCAATGCGCCAATGGGTTGGAGCCCTAAAGGATCTTTGAGATAAGAGTATGTCTATATGCAGTAACGTAAGCTATCATCATACCAAATTTCAGCTCAATCTGACCAGTAGTTGACGCGCAATTGAAATTCAAACAAACACACAACCTTTCACATTTATAACCTTGGTATGATAATGTTTAGCAAAAGATTGTATGAGTAAATGAAAAATACGTTGTAATTTGATTAGGTGTACATTTTTAGATGCGTGTGCAGTGAAAATTCCAAATAAAATTACTTAAGAAATTATTTGGCTGATGCTGTAGTTTTACTGAACTTTTATAATTAAGCCTACCTCCATATGAGAAATCAAACGCTCATTTTCTTACCTATGAATACATAAGATAAAAGATTTATTTTATAAACTTACTAACGTATTCTAAAAGTAAAAGAGTGTCCATAATCAGTTTAATATAATTTCAACAATTATTAGGGAAAAAATAACTCCTCTAGGTAGAAGACAACCAAACAATCTATGACAGTTTCAACAATGGCAGACAAAGCAAACTTGTACATTAATGGTGAACAAACTTTGGAATATACAGTGTTGTTTCCCGTTTCATAACGATACCATGTAAACTTCGGAGTTTTCCGAACGACAGGATTAGAAAGCTTCAGAGCGTGCATTGTTGAAGCGCAAAGTGTATCGTGAAACGTTTCAAACTAAATGAAGAGGTTGATTCCATTAGCGATTGTAAATTAAGTATGACGGACAAAAATAATAACGGGACTTTCCTGTTTAAGGGAACATTCGTTATTATCGATGATTTTTTTTCGATATATCGATGTTTTTGTTTTCCGATCCATAACAAATTGACAACAACTAACTGATCTTGTTTAGGCTAAAATAGTCTATTATGGATTAAGAAATGAAACTGTTCTAGCTAACCTAACATAACCAACCGAACTTGCTGTACCATTAAAAAAATTCCATTTGGGTTTGAATATAAAAGGGAAGTTATAAACACGGAATTTTTTAAATGTTACAGCAAGTTTGGTTAGTTATGTTAGGTAATTTTTTTTAGAACAGTTTCATTTCTATGTTTGTTGATACTGAACAATACTTTTCGTAGTTGTCAGCTGATATGTTTCAATTTGTTAATATAGATATATAGAGAAAAAAATCATCGATAATAATGAATGTTCCCTTTAACAGGAAAGTACCATAATAACTACATTCTTGATAGCGGAAACTTTCTGTGTATCCAACACTTGCGGATCGAAATAAATAGCCATTTTAAGATATCAATGTTGAATATCTTAAATTTCACATCCAATAATTAGCATCTACTTTAAGATAGGAAATACGTTTTAGAATGTTTAAAATGTATCAAGCGTGTACAACACAGTTATGGTAAACTTGTGCTGTAATTATTTGTTACATTTGTGAAAGAAAATTGCACAAATTTTACTCCCACACCACCACACTTAACTGCTAAGGAAAGAAATTTACATTAGGCCTCATACTGTAACCCTGGTTTAGTATGACTCTAATAAATAGCATATAAAAGAAATTTTCTATGAGATTTTTAATTCTATTTTCCTTGTACAATTTGTGTAGAGACCATTGATGAAATTCTTTATAGTATTTGTGGAGGATCAATGGAAAGTATACTTAATGAAAAGTATTGCATGCAATGTCGTTTTCATTTTTTAAAAGATATTTAGAGTTATTTTAGTATACATCAACGGTATTGACAAAAAAGGTTATGACAATTTAATACAATCTTTGAAATAAAAGCGCACAGTCTTATCGAAACTGGGCTAAACAAATCTACATGTTAATTGTTTACAAAGTGAATCCCTATGTGAATTAATGTGCATAACCTGTTTAAGCAAACGAAACCTGAATGTTTTATCTCTGTATACAGATGTCTTCAGTCCCAATTTACGTAATTTTGTAATAAAGTATGGTTAAAAGCTTAATCATAGTACGTAAAATTGCTTAATCTCCCTTCTGTTCCTACTCATCACTAAAAAATGTTTTTTAAAACTACATATGATCTATCTAATTTCAGAAAAAAAGTTGGTAATTGTAAAAATAACTTGCTAAGTGTAAATTTATATTGGTATACTTATATATCAATAAAGTATTAACTATATTTATGTAATGTTATCTTAAGCTCTGATTACAATAACTATTTAATTATTCTGCATTAATTTAGTGAATAGAAATATTTTCCCCCTTACAACACTACATATAATTACGTGTCTTAAACCGTATTTATGATTCATTCAACTACTTTTGACCCTAAAATAAAAATTATTATTTGACAATATAATTTTAAGTGATCTAAACATTTTTGTAGGATGATGGACATATTGTCTTCATAAAGAGGGTCCACATAGTATTTTAACCTATGATAAGCTGTGATTATTCTCAATTCTTACTATTTTCAAAATAATCTATATATATATATATATATATATATATATATATAATGTATTTTTTTGTCACACAATATTATATATTCCAACTAACACACAAATGCATACATCTGAGTCTGAACGATATTAATAATATTTTATAAGACAACACAAGCTAGGCCTTGCCCAGATGATGTATTGATAATTAAAACCCCACTTACCGGAATATACAAATCCGACAGTTGATATACGTAAGCACGCGCACACACACGGACGGAGTTCACTCGCCTGCACTCAACCACGACGGCAGTATCACTGAAGGCTGGCGGTGTTCACTGTAAGTAGAGTCTTGAAACGCTCACTGGGAGCGCTAGCGGTGTGAGTCAGCAACAGTGGGATCAGCAGCACAGGACAGATAGAAATTGTACTGACAGATCTGACTACCTGTCTGAATGCTATTCTGATAACTGAACTGGATTTTTCGTTATAATATCCTTGAAGACTTTTTCACAGGATGTTTTATGGACTTATGGACTAAAGAAGAAACGGAAATCATGTTTGTCTATAAATCCCTCCTCATAATTTTCTGTTTGTTTTTATGTAATTGATATTGTTTGGGCACGGTCCAAATCCTGGTCTTGTAACTATCTAACCATGTAACCATCTTGCAATCTTATGAAAATAGCGAAATTAAAACTACTTTTAGGTCTAACAATTAATTAGGCTCAAACTAGTGACCTTGAGGTTTACGGTTGAGGAATATAACCCCCTAGCAGCCCATATAATTATTGCAATGGTTGTTGTAAGTTGTTTAAGCTACAAAAGCAGCATAGGTTTTTTTTATTTGTAATTTCAATAAGTTTATTTTAACATTTAAACGTAAATTAAATATTTTTTTAAAGGATATAAACTATGGGACTAGGTAGTAATAGTAGATTATGATTTTGGATCCAAAACGCTCAAATTACGTCCAATTGCTTATCTAGCCTGTGTACAAAATAAGGATGTTAATTTGCAATCAATAAAAAAACTATATATAAAAATATGTGCAATAGCTTCAATATTATAAATGTTCAGAGTGTGTTCTAGTTATTAAAAATATAGGTAAATTACCAAAGCCTGTTTTGGTTCAAGCAATACAAGGTAAGGTTATATTTTATTTTACAAAGTAAATGATTTGACATAAAATTATACATCACCTTAAATCCTAAAGGTACTGGCTCTATAAATTATCAACTGGAGATTTTTTTTGTAACCATAAAATTATCTCACCCGTTATGTTACATACAATTTATTGTAGAACCACATAAAACACAAATATAACGTACAAGCATCCACCGTGAACGTAGTAGTAGTGGTATTAATTTTAATGTTACTGTATCCAACATTAATCCATGAGAAGGGTAAAAAAAAAAAAAATAATAACACGGACACTATCAACAATTTGATACGTTAGCTTAATATAAAACTTGTTGAACTTTTGTTTAGTTGTGTAACTGATGCCTAAGTTTAGTAGGCCTAGGTCTAATAAATATAGACCAAGTATAAAGAAAATTAAATTTAAAATATATATCATAAATTTCGTTACATTTTGGAGTTTTTACAGAGGAAAAAACTCTACTGTGTTTAATTCTGCAAGGTTATCAAGTTAAACTGATTTCGTTCCATACAAACTTTAATAAAGGAGAAAACAATCTCCGACGAAAAACCGGTGCAACGGGAATTAGTGACACCCGCTGGCGAAAAACTCGTTTTAATTAGCGAAGCCTCTTTTCGTCGAAATAGAACCCGATACTTTTAGCAACAGATTCAGCTCCTGGTATTAGGTTAGGATCTTTTAAATTACTTTTTCCCTTTTTAATCCGATTTTTACATTTTAAATCTTAAAATTTATGTTCATTTATTCACACTGAATCATTTACTTTTTTAAGATTTTAAATCGGATTACAGCTCTAGCAATAATAATAATGGATTGATTACATGTATTTAGGCTATGAGAATTAAGGATTAGTTTTTCGTGACTTCAATTACCAAATCTAAATTATATACTTACCGATGATACCTTATAAAAGCATAACCATTATAAAATTTACTCTAAATGTAACGCATATTAGAGACAAAAACGATGCTTAAAACAACAATGTATGCTTTCAGTTCATTATAACTAAATTTAGCTACCGTGGCTATTCTATAGATAAAATTTGTTTTCAAAATCAACAATCTTTTGTTAGCACAGTTAAACATTCAACATTATTTTTAAATCGTTGGATCCCTCATACATGAAAACAAGGGAATAACGTTTGCTTACTTTGCATTACTTTAAAATATTTTGAACATGATTAAATTGTTTCCAAGAGTATTTAAGAATATCAGACTAATATATTTGATATGGAAATTAATTAAACGTATAATTGAAGAATTTCCTATGTGCCATGGGATTTAATTATTTTCCAAACCCACATTACATTAGTTTTACAAGCTACAGGATAGTTCTTGCTGTACACAAGATTTTTTTTTTATAATATAGTTATATTTTTTTAAATATAGTTATATGTGTTGCTGCTGGAAGTTGCATAAGTTTGATAAGGCATTGGATGAATCAATTAGCACTTAGGCTAAAATTAATTTTACTTGAGTTAAATATTTTCACAGACCCGTAACTGTGGTATATTAAGCAGATGTAATATGTGTAGTACAAATAAATCAAGGTAATGAAATGTTCCATTAGCTAAATTACACACATAAAGCTTTAAAATATACTACTTTCAGTCCATTTTGTCACTGATTTATATGTTAAAGCCTAAAATTCTAATCACAAACAACAATTTAAGTAATTAAATCCTTTTAAATTAATTTAATTTATTAATTGCATTTTTTTTTTTTTATAAACAGAAGCTGTATTATTCTACGTTTTATTTTTATTTGCTTTTACACACTTCGTTGCTAGACATAAGTAAATTACACGTAACCTTTTTTGACACTAAATAAGGTTAACAACAAAGGTAAATCTTATGTTGTAATATAACAAAGGTTAAAAAATGAGAAATCGCAGAAAAATTAGAAATGTTGTCCAAATAGATTAATTGGGTAAATAATAATACTTAAGTTTTATTACTGGTACCTAAGTAAATATTCATACTGTTTAACTTTATTGGTACCAAAATCACAAAGATAAGATATCTACAGCTGATCGTCTCACTACAATAATTTTTCTTTCTACCTTTTGTATAAGATAAAGTATTTTAGCCTTAAAACGCATTTAATAAAAACATAAGTCTTTGCTCTGTTGTTATGCAAAATTAGTTTCAAACCATTTAAATAGCCGATACACTTGAGAAGCTTTTATAAACCAGTATAATAAGTAAATATATCAAAGTAAACTACTAAAGTCTATAAAATAGCATAGGTTAAATCTATACCATTAAACGTTTTAATGGAAGAGTTTTTGTACTAGTAATAACTTTTTAAAGAGGTTGGTGACCTTTTTACTTTGCATTTCCCGTCTATATTGGACTTTGGGACTGTGTATAGATTGTACCAAGCAATGCACGGGATGAGTCTGTACAATATAAGAATATTACCTCACTATGGTATTTGTGGATTTGAATGGTTTTATTGTTTGCCTGGCAATCGAAAGGTCCCCGGATCGATCGTGAGAATGTTAGCAGCTTCAAATGGTTCAAAGCAGGGCCCAGCTGCCCAAAGAAACAGCTGATAGCAGTAACAAAGCTACACAGGCCATGTTACTCCTCATTTTCACACCCAAACGTGCTTTGTCTCTTAAACAATTGATTTATTAATCAATAGCACCATCAACGGAAACCTACGACATCGGTTGCATGGATTAGAATTTTGGCACGTTTTCGACTGATCCACTGACTCCGAATATTGCACAAAATTAATATTCTTTAACACTTTTTTCCGATGCCAACACTACAAATCTTAGTTTTTTCTAAACCAAATACCGTTATTAATAACACTGTTGACCACTTGACCTACAGAGAGTTACAAATATTACTTTAAAAGACTAATATTTCAGCGCCCAATGTAAATCCAAACATTTCTTTTCCCTATAGATAACAAACGAGGACAGTCTCAACAGAAAGTGAGGTCAGTTCCATTCTCGGAAGGTACTGTAAACAGTCTGGGCTAAACGTAGCAGCTGTGCTGGTTCCTCTCTTACGCAGCTCCCAGTTTAGTTTTACGGCATGTTCAATTAGTCCCGGTTAAACTGGGAACCAAGTTAACCAGTGTGTCAGACTTTGTATCTTTAGGTGTTAAGTTGTACGAGAATTCAGACTTGTAGCAATATAATGCAAACTAGTAGAGACATAAGTCCCTAAAAAGCTCAAATTTAAAACTAATTATTGTTATACTAAATCGAACTAAGAATCAAAACGTGATCTTTTACGCAGTAGCTCTGAAGATTTTGAGTTAATCATTTATAGATCACTTTAGTGACGGCAGAATTCATTTAAATAATTTGTTAATTATCAATCTTCTCAAACTCTATAAACAAAGTACAAGGAAAATAATAATTCGTTCGTAATAAAATGTTAAATGTAAACATAACAGACATTTTAAAATTCCAATGCATTTTAAATTGAAGATATTTTTTAGTTATTTCTCATTTGCTGGTAGATTTGGACATAATATGCTAATTTTCCCGACCGCCTGGGGCCTTTAAGATCTTTAATTTGAGCCTTCTCCCATCATACAGCGAACTGTCAAACTCTAGCAATTTAGATTTTTTTTAATCGACTCAATGAACATCACGTTACAATTAATGCAATACAAATTGACTTTAGTCTTTAAAACCATTTTAAATTTTTTTTTTTAGGTAATACTACTTATAAATACATAATTATACTGTATAGCATTTAGTATCTGCATGTATAATATTACTAGTTGTATAGATGAACCAGCGTATGATACGGGTCACAATTCGGCACGTGACAAATGATAATGTATAATAATAAATTCAGGAATTTCTTTTTGTAAACCTAAACGAGCAAAAAAATTCCATTGGCTATTGATTTCAAACAGTTACGCTAGACTGTTTTAAATTGGATACCTCATATAGTGGGCTAGTGTTTATGAATTAGACAATCGGTATGATTTTGAAGTGGGAGCGAGCTGGTCTAGTGAAAAATCGGCCTTCGGAGCCCGAGGTCCAGGGTTCAAATCCTGTCAACCACCAATATATTTTATTTATGTGATAATGCCGCAACCCAGGACTAGCCTAGAAAAGTGTAGAGAATAGTTCCGGCCTACAACCTAGCGTCATAGGATGTGAAGGTGTAAAAAAAAACGTATTGT